TGAAAGATCTTCATATGTTCAGCGGATTGAAGAAGTTATTTGACCTTAAAAGGAGTTACAGCAGAGATTAGACAATAACTAACGATGATACGTACCTTACAATGTTGCCATGCTGCATTTCCTTCAACAGAGAAATTTCACGAATGGCTGTGCTTGGCACTCCCTCATCTTCTTGCTCCAAGCGGATCTTCTTCAAAGCAATAGTCTCATTTGTGACACGATCGCGTGCCTTGTAAACCACACCATACGTTCCTTCTCCAATCTTCTCAACTTTCTCATACTACAAAGCCAAGTAAATCGCAGATAAGATCAACAATAATGCACCAAAAAAAAAAAAAAACGAAACAGAAAAACAAGCATTTCAACATCCAAAATCATCGCTAACCTGCTCCATCGAGTCCAAAAAAAGTGTCAAAGTTCTCAAAGCTTAAATCCTACAAACAACAGGACAAAGAACGTTGTAGATTTAGTGCAATACATGCCTTCTAACATATAAATACCAAAATGATGATAGGAAAGCGGGAATGTCAGAAACGCCAGAGAACGCTACTGAAAAGGCGCAGAAAACAGATTCGCACAGGTCAAGGACCGGATCCGCGTTGAAATGGAGTCAACTCAGTCATAGTAGACTGAGTTGAACTCACTTGGACCACATTGGAAGAAAGCATTTCGAAAACGCAGTTTAACATCGAAATTTCTGCAAACAATCGCTCATTTTCACTTCGTTCCTTTCTTGGAATTCGAATTACTATTTAGACTAAAAGGCAAAGTGCAGTAAAAGCATCTACCAACCAAATTAAAGAGAGGAAATCAAAAACAGATAGACCGGAAAGCAAGAACAAACCTAAGTTGAATCAGAGCCGAACCTGTGGGAATCGGGGACGGTGTCGAAGAGAAGAGAGGCGCCGTAAAAATGGCGCCGCAGAAGGAAGAAGAAGAGGGAGGAGAGGAGGAAGGGAAGGGAGGCGAGTGGGGTATCTATGTAATTTCACGTGCCTTAACTTTATTTTATATATTTAGTAATCTTTTTATTGGCTGCGATTATTTCTATATTTTAGTCCTCAAATTTCGTACTTATTTCTTTTTAACTTGTCAAATTCAGATATTATAAATTAGTCCATGAAATTTCCACAAAAACAAATTTTAATTTGGTTTTAATTAAATTTTTTTAAAAAATAAAAATAGTTAGTGAGAAAAATCAAATATATATAACTAAAATAATTATTTATACAAATTAGATTTTAAAACGAATATATTTATTTAATTTAGTTAAAACACAATAACACGAACATTGTGTTCAGATTGTTCGCCTTATATTTTTTTTTTGTTTAAAAAAATTATTCATACATATATCATCTACTAAAATATCCAAAATTTGAATTCTCGACTTTATAAATTACCGAACTCGAGGAAAGAAAATCGACCTAGCTGCAAATATAAAAATTAGTCCACTACACAAACCATATGTCAATGCAGTAACATGAATGCTGACCAAAATATCAAACACTTGGATTCTCGGACACTTATAAATTATTGAACCTGAAAAAAAAAAAAAAAAAAAAAAATAACCCAATTACGAAAGAGATAAATTAGTTCATTGTACGAAGCGTGTGTCGATGTAGCAACATGAACGCCGACCAAAACCCAATTACGAAATAGATATATTAGTTCATTGTACGAAGCGTGTGTCGATGTAGCAACATGAACGCCGACCAGAACCCAATTACGAAATAGATAAATTAGTTTATTGTACGAAGCGTGTGTCGATGTAGTAACATGAACGTCGACCAAAATATCCAAGATTTAGATTCTCGACCCTTGTAAATTATTGAGCTGAACTAGCTATGAAATAGAAAAAAATTAGTCTACTACACGAAACCTGTGTCATTGTAGTAACATGAACGCTGAGTAGAATATCCAATATTTAGATTCTCGACCCATATAAATTATTGAACCCGAATGAAAAAAAACTCACCCAAAAATTATTCTTTTTTTTTTTTTTTGTGAGATTTATATTCATTGTAGTCACCTCTGAGATTCTTCATCGATCACTTCTCTAGAATATAGTTGAAGGTAGATATCAGGAACCAAGTGCTAACAGCTTCGAATAATGCTCCGAAGTCGAGTGGGCTGGACCAGAAACGACCCGGCCAGATGAGCCCATTGAGGCCCACTTGTCAACTTTCTCCCTTCATTTAATGACAAACGAATTTTTACATTATTGGAGTTCTCATTTTTTATGTGATTTTTGGGATATTTATTTTTTTCTCACCTTTCTTGTGATATATATATATATTTTTTTTTAATTTTAAAACAAAAATACGATAAAATACAACAAAAAAAAATATATAAAAAGTTATTATGATGTGAACGGTTCATATGATTTTTGTCTATATCTATGTTTTTCTCGTGACATGACATGTATGAAAATTAATTTCATCTCATTTATATTTTTCATGCTTTTGAAAATTACTTAAATAAAATAAAAATAACATTTAGATAGTTATAATGATCTTTATTTAGGCTACAATTTTTAATTAATTTTTAATTTTATTTATAATTAATTTCGATGAATTTGTTTTTGTTCGCGTACTTTATTAAAACTTATTAATGTCATAATTTAGTTTTAGTTTATTTGTTTATTTATAAAAATAAAATATCAAATTATTGAGCACTACAAAATTTATAGTTAAATTAATGGGTAACGTTTAATTTAGATTAATGATGAGTGAAGTAACAATCACTAATGTTTTAAAATCGAAGATGTCTTTTTTCTTCTTGCTTGGAGCAATCATTTTGACTCGTTCATCGACTACAGTTCGTGTAGAATTCAAACTTGTTCGACTACACACGTCGTTCGTGCGTGCATGTTCAATTGTGTATGACATAATCACGTCGCACTTCATGGTCATCTCGGTTCCCAACAACACAACCCATGCATCGTGATGTCATCCCATATATCGGGACACATAAGCCATTTAGGCTTGCTTTGACACATCCATTGGGTTGAGGCACAATACCAACACACTTATGCCGTCTAGTACTGTCCTTGAAAGACCCTTTTCAAAAGAAGACGCCCAAGACGCTCGCCCACACTGTAACAGACCTATGTACAACAGCGTAGGTTACTTAAACCATAAGGCAATTGTAATGGATGATTACAGATGAATTAATAGATTTTCACGTAGTTTTTTGTTTTCACATTAGAAATAAAAAGTTTATCGTTAAACTAACGGGATTATATTTGTAATTAATGTCACTAATAGCGTTTAATTTAGATTAATTAGGATTGAAGTAACCAATATATGAAGACTAATGTTTTAAAATCTAGCTCATAAAGGACGTCTCTTTTGTTGTTGCTTGAAGCAATGTTTTTGACTCAGTCACCAATCAAATGGAATTGGTATTTAATTTATTGAAATGGATTCGTATTTAATTAGTTGGCGAAGTGGGGAAAGCTTTTCCTGCAATTTTGACAGCCTAACCACTGTGCTGTAAAGAAACAACAATCACATATTCAATTTCAATAGACAAATTTTTTAGTTTTTTTCTTTAAAAGAGAAGATTGTTGATCTGATCAACCTAACTTAACTTGTATCGTTTACGTTCGATTGAACTTATTCAGGTTAAGTTTGTTTCAAATAAATAAAAATTTCATGGGTTAAATTAGCGATCAACCTAACTGAACTTGTATCGTTTACGTTCGATTGAACTTATTTAGGTTAAATTTGTTTCAAATAAATGAAAATTTTATAGTTAAATTAGCTCGTGTGTTCATTTTAAACTCGATTGAATTGAACTGAATCAACTTGAATTTGTTGTTAATTTTAAAAAATAAATTTATTTTCAATTATTTGGGAGGTAATATTTTAAATTGTATATTCAATTTGAGTGGTAAATTGATTAAATGTTTAAAAATAAAAAAATAAGTAGACACATTTTACTTTTATTATAATTTTTTTTATAAATGTCTCGAGTAAACTTAACCTAAAAGTTGGTTTTGGTTCATTAATGAGAGTTGTTTGTGTTGAAAAATATATAACCCGAACAATTGAGTTTGATCTAAAAAATATCTCAATCAGACTCACGACCACCCTACTCTCTAGCTAACACTACATTTAAAGATCATTTTTTAGTTTCTATACTTTAATAGACGTGGCAATTTAGACTACCTACCTCGAATTTCGAATTTATAATAATAAAAGTCCCTAGGTAACAAATTAACTTCTTGTACTATACAATTATTGTAAGAATTTGAGGAAATTTCTTATATAGCAAGATATATCTATAACTATAGAGTCTAAATATTAATAAGAACATTGACATTTAATTTTTAATAAACTTTATTAAAATGTAGGAATTCCTTTTGTTTATGTAACTAAATAATTATCAAATAAAGTTTATGTGATTCGTCAAGTTGGAGCAAACAAAGCGTTTGGTCCCTTACTGAATTAGGAATTCGAAGGTCTTTCTCTTTCAAAAAGAGACTCGGGAAAGAAAGAGCTATGTCATTGATTTCGCAGTGAATTCGAATCAATAGACTAATCTCTCTTTTTTTTTTCTCATTTAATTTGAGGCAGACCAAATAAAATAGAGAATGAAACGTATGGAATAGAGAATGAAACCCAAAAATAGGGGAAGTATTCAAAACCTTTTATTTTTAAAAAAGAATATATCGAGATATACCCATCGAAGTACCAAAGGCTTTCGGGGCTTACACCCCGACTAACCCCAACTTTAATATGAACCCATTGAGATTCAAATTTGCTCGAGTTCTTTTATAAAAATTGAACCATCGGTCTCTAGAATGATAATTAACGTATTATTCACTCAACTATGTTTGATTTAACTGTTAAACCTTTCCATTAATTGCACGATCATTTTCACGGACACGGTGGAAACAAAATATTCAAATGTCCTTAAAAGAATTTGAGAAGCGTATTGTTTCAGACATTTTCCAAGAAAACCAACTTGTAGTTACAGAGAGGGAAATGGAAAGAAAGTTTTAAAGCAAAAGCAAAAGGCGAAAAGCTCAGCTCATCTAAAGGCATTCAACCATCTGTATAAAGAAGAAGTGTGCTTGCTTGCTTGCTTGCTTTTGTAAGAGCTGCAAGGAAGGCCATTGATGAGGAGACGAAGCTCGTAAGAAACGAGAGAGAGAATGACGAGTAAGCACAGAGACGAAGGAAATGGCGAGCGGATTGTATCGGAAGGAAGTCGCGGTCGAGACGATGGCGGTGAGATGGGGAAGAAACTGACCGTATCGACATTGCAAGCTAGAGAAGAAGAGATTGAGAGGAGGAAGATGGAAGTTAAGGAGAAGGTTGAGTTGCAGTTAAGCCGTGCTGAGGAAGAAGCTAAACGCTTAGCACAAATTTGGGAAGTAAGTTTTATAATCATATGCTTTTTATGTAACACGCCTAGAAAGGATACAATTCTAATGTAAATTCTTATTTATTTAGGCTAAATTAATAAAAATATTCTTGGATCTATATATATATATATGAATATTCTTGGATCTATATATATATGGATATATATATATATATATATATACTTTTCAACTTAAAGAAAGTCTCAATCATACCTTAAAGCTTAAAAAAAAAAAAAATCATTAGTTAGAATTAATATTTTATTTCATATATAGCGTTGAACTTTTAAAAGTGTTAAAAAAACATTTTTGAACTTTTTTATTATTATTATTTTGTTAATACCCTTGAACTATTTTAAAAACTTCAAAATATTTTTTTTTTATATATATATATATAAAGTTAAAAAATATTGTTAGAGTTGATATCACGTTCAAAAAATACTCATGAATTTTAAAAAGTAATCTTAATACTTTTTTTTAAAATTAATTTTTTTAAAAAAGTACGAGTATTTTTTAATTTAAAAAAATAAAAATTAAAGAGTATTTTTTAGACCCTTTCAAAGTTTAAAGATATTTTTAAAATAAAATATTTATAATTATAATTTCTGTATAAAGCTAATGATAACCATATTTTTTAAACTCAGAGGTATTATTGAAGAAAGTTTATCAATATTATTTTAGTTTAAAGGTAGTTTAAATTAATTTAACAGAAAATTAAAAAAAAAATTGGAATTCAAAGATTGAACAAAAAAAAGTTGACCTAGAAGGTTGTTGTGTATGATTAAGGAGCTGGAGGTAATGGGAGATCCAATGGGGAAAGAAGTTGGTAATGTGAGAAAAAGAATAGACACAGCTAAGAAGGAACTGAAATCACTGGGACAGATCTGCCAAAAGAAGGTGCTTCAATCTCAATAATTTTTTTTTTTTTTTTAATATTTGGTTTTATGTTGGAACTTCTAACCTCTAATTTTATAAAGTAAGTTTCAGTTAAAAAAATATTTGTTCTAAATGGTAACAGGAAAAAGAATATAAAGAAGTCTTGGAAATATTCAATGAAAAAACCAACGAGAAAGCTCAGCTACTCACTACACTCATGGAGGTAACAATAATTCTTTACCCCAACTCTAAATTTTCCGTTCCTTTTCTTGCCACTTAACGGTCTAATTTTTTTTTAATTCAAATAATTTTTGTTAAATAATAAACTTAATTCAATCCAACTACACCTAATATTTTAGTTCAAATTATTTGACTCATTTATTTAAATGTTTATTTTTAATATAAATAAAACATTCATATATAAAATACCTATTTATTTACTTTTTTTTAAACTAAATTGCAATATATATTTTTTAAAAATACATTTCAAAAACATAAAAGTTATTTTAAAAGCTATTGAATAATAAAATAATCGAAGAACATTCCTGAAATTAAATAAAATTATAATAAATATATTGGTATATAAATATATCATAAGTAAAAAAGTTTTTTTATTTTTATTTTTATTTTTTGAAGTTAACAATAATTATTAATTTGTTTCAATCTAAACTGATTTCGGTGAAACCTACGAGCTAACTCAACTCATAAAAATTTGCATTTATTTAAACTAAATCAAATCCAAATAAATTATAACTCAATCCAAAACGTACCGATTAGGTTGGGTTGATCACGTTCTTCCCTTTAAATCGCACCAAGGGGCTAATATTCTATTAAATTGTCCAATTGCCATTTGTAAATGGCCATAATGTTATCAGCTGCTGGATCAAAGTGAGAGATGGAGGATGAACAAGCTTGAAGAATTGAGTAAGCACATAGCATTGACGAACTGATCGAGAAAATATGAATGGCTATCTATATTGTTGTCCATGAGTAGCACCTTCATTTTTTCTGTTCTTGTTAAAATTGTACTTTTATTTAAAGAAATGTTTCAGAAAGTGTTAAAGATAAACATGCAGGCCATCCTCCATAACGTGTAATTAATATCAATAATATTATTAATCCTTCTATCATATCATAACATTTAATTTGGCACCTCCATTTCTGATCACTTAATGAACAAAACCGAGATAATAGTATATGGTTTTGGTCCTATAGGCTATAACAAATAAACATGCAAGAAATTGAAGGTAAAAAGAACATATGAAGAAAGAAGATTATGCATTTGACAAGCCATTGATGCCTATAATAATGGGTTGGATAAATGATATGCATGATACACACCATATATGGACTGCAAAGGCTGTGCTCTCAAATCACAAGAATGCTTATAAGCGAACGGACGACTTACAAAATTTGTCGAAGAAACGATTAATCTGGTAGAAGCTGGTTGTACTCTGCCAGTAGCTTAGGTATATCGTCCATACGTAACTGTGAATTCAAAAAAGGAATAAAAACGTATATGAATTCGGATACTTGGATAGAATCAGAAGAAACGAATTCGGATACTAGAATTTTGAACTGTGTGAAGCTCACATATGCTTAGAAACCAATATTGGATCAATTGGTAAAATCTAACGTCTTAACTTCCAAGTCAACCAAACTTTATTGTTGCATAATTTGGTAATTACAGTCATGTTCAAGATCATCATGGCCTCTGTTTTTCAGTCATTTGAATTCTGAACATTGCCGATTAATTCAACTTCGTAGTTCATATTGTTTACGAACTGAGAAGCAAGAGAATCTAGAGGTAGATCTCGATGCAAAACCGCAAGGGAAATTCCAAATATTAGAGAATTTGTAAGATCCCACGTCGATTGGAGAGGAGAACGAAAATTTCTTTATAAGGGTATGGAAACCTGTCCCCAGTAGACATGTTTTAAAAACCTTGAAGGAAAGTCCGAAAGGGAAAGCCCAAAGAGGACAATATATGGTAGCGGTGGGTTTGGGAATTTAAAGAACCATTCCCTGCACCTATCATGAAAATCAAACAGTGGTGTATAGGGCGTGGGGTGGGGAGGAGTCTGTTGTGGTCCAAAAGTGGCTTTGAGCAGTATGTAAAGTTACCCTAAGGAAAAAGATATACCAGAAAGGAGAACACCACAAGCAAGAAGTAGTAAGATAAAATCAACAGCGAATAAAAGGATTCACCTATTAACCACTTCGTACCATACTGTTCATACCTGACGAAAGCTGTTAATATGGTAAAATTGATAAGCATCTTTTCCAGGAAGACTGGTAGTCATGAACTCTGACTGAGGCCCATCATTTGTACTGTAATTTTAAACATAAATTAAACAACAATGACCAAACAGGAGATACTAACATGAAAATAAAAACTAGGAGAGGAGTTCGTGCTTTCCATGCCAAGAATATAAAAATAAAATAAAAAACAATAATTAAAGCTCCAATCGATAACCATTCGGTTTTTAGTTGTTGAAAATTGTGCTTGTTTTTTCATCATTTCTTTACAATCAGTTTCATCTTGTTTTTTTTTTCGAACAGACAAAATTTTTCAATAAAAAAAAATGAAGGGGTAAAAACCCCAAAACCCCATTTCATATTCTACACATCAACAGTCATATCAGAAGATGGATGCCACTAGAAATCAAATTAATCAATGCCAATGCACATATAATGAGATTTCAGAACACTAAACAGAAACTCGAATTTGAAGATGGAAAGTGATAAAAGTCATGTATGATTTGATAAGATCTGATAAGTGGTAATGCTTCATTCTTACAAGTACTTATGGGTGATCAACCGCTGGTAATCACGAAGTAAGGGCCCAAGCTCTTTCAGTGGAATTAACCTAGGATTAGAATTGCTCCAATGTTTCCGAAGTGCCTGAGCGGCCTTCCACAAAAATGAAAGAAAAAAAAACTATCAGATAACCTAATTAGATGACCTTGCATCGAAATATTTCCAACTCACCTCAGTATGTGTGACCCGTCCAGTGATAGAAGGTTCAACTTCACTTAAACTAAATGCTAGATTAAGGAACTCCTTGTCCTCCATCTCGCCAACAACAGGTAGTCCAGGATTTGAGAAAGAGAGAGTAATCCCCAAACTTTTTCCTAACTCTTCAACTGCATTGTGCCTCCCTTGAGAATCCTGTTCAGACTAATATGAAATATATTTTTATAATATCCACAGGAAACAATTCTGGGTATAGGAAAGGATAAACATAATAGAGGATGAGATTCTTCAGACCTATTAGTTTATTTATTCAAAATCTTATGTTGTTATTTTTTCTTTTTATGAGAGAAAAAATTCCAATCGAAAACAGGGAAGGCATATCAAAGAGCTAGGAAATAAGGGGCCCAATCCATATTGCTAACATAATACGTTATCAATGATACAAACAATAAGCATAACCATTTACATATCCCTAGAAATTTACATGTTTTGCTAAGTTTAAAATTTTATTTCAAGTATTGGTTTGCAAAAGCCTCGAAAAACAATGCAAATTAAGATGCGAGAGTGACCAAACCATCATCACTTCAGTGCATATAGGGGGGTCATCCTGTTCCCAACTAGGTCTTTACCATGCAGGAAAGCTTTTGGGAGGAGCACCCAGAAAGAGGAAGATATTATCGAAGTTTGAAACTACGAACATTTTAAGGTTTTTATGGATAAAATAAACTACCGATGATTTTGAATAAGAATATGAGCATGTCGATAATGTTTGGACGAGATGATCATTATGATTATCAGAGAGAGAGGAAAAAAAAAAGGAATTTTTACTACTGATTGCTATCTATTTTTCATGAATGGTGTTGTTTTCGTAATTCCCTCTCTTAGTAAAGAGAAATTTTATGTTCCCACTAAACTAATATCGCAAAATGAACCACGTATTAGAACTAAGAATGCATAAAGGCCATGTGTTCATTAAGTGAGAGGCTGTGTTCCAATACCTCCTGTGCGGAACTGGAATCTTCATTCAAAGTTGTCAAATCCTTATTTTGAGGGAGATCGTTGGGTGATGTGGAAAACAATCTCTTTACAATTGGGTCCTCTGTAAGACATAATATACTTTATGAGGACTATCAAACTAGTTAGTCAACAAGAAGAAAATTAAACAATCATTAATCATGCGCTCTTACTAGTATCTCCAGTTCGAAGTAACACTTCTAACCTTTTCTTTTTCTTTCGCTCGGTTAGGGTAGCAGAGGGGGAAAAGGTACAGGTTAAGAGATGTCATTGAAGGTATTTTATGAGGAACCAAGCTTTAGTTGAGCTAAATGGAAGAAGCCAATGTTTAAGAACTCAGAAAAAGAAAAAGAAGAAGAAAAGGTAAAACATTATGAGTAAAGAAATTGGCTGATCCTCACTATTTACAGGTCAAGCTGGAGAGAGTACTTTCAGATTAACTATCAAGATATATTAATGGAAAATATGCATGCCTGAAAGTGAAAAAACTTCAAACTTTTCAAGAAAGGAACATTGCGGACAAGATTCGATGAACAGCTTTCTGAAAAGAAATGAAATACCTTCAGTAACTAACCACCACAGATCGCCAAAGGTTGATTTCCCATCAAAGCCACCAAATAACAAATAACGTGATCCAACACAGGTCATTGAATGGTATGCCCGTGCTGAAGGAGCTTCATTTCCAGTAGGCAACCGCTTCCATTGAGCAGTCACTGCATTTCAAAGAGAAAAGGCTACTCACCACAGAACAGTAAACCATTGAATAGATGAAGGACAGATGGTTATCAATCATATCAGGAAAGTTTGACATGTTCAAGGTTTTTCTGGAGTGTACAGCCTGCTGTTCTCCTTCAGATTTCTCTCATTATTTATAAGTTGGCATAGAAGTCCTCAACTAAAAATCATCGTGTACATAGTTCACCTCCTTCCTAACCCCACCCATCCCCGTTGCAGCCCCCTAAAGCAATAGTGTTCCTTTTATGTGTGAAATTAAAGCCGCAGAAGAAATTGCCTTTTAGCAGCATACGGAGGTAATTATACACTCACCCCTATCCAACACAATTGAATCATTGTGGTAAACGTCATAGCGACTAAGCCAACCACCAGTCCCATGCCCTCCAAATAATAGTAGCTGTTAAGACAAGAAGGGGGTTATAATCAAGTTGAAGTAATACCAATGAAAGAGTACTAGCAAATGAAAGCTTGTTTGAAACTAATTGGAGAATTCTTTAATATATTCTCTTCTTTTCTTTTCTTTTTCTTTTCCTTTCCTAAAACTCTGGAACGGTAGGGGAACACAACTTATCTTCACCTTGCTCTTTTGAGTCTCTTTTTCATTTTTGAAAAAAACTGTCTTTCTTGGAAACAAATTTCTTAGTAAAAAGAAAACTCCAAGGTTCCCTATTTCAACTAGACTTCTTCTTCCATGAAAAATAAAAGATGATATACTAGCCACCAATAGGAGTTCACAACTTGAGTGCTCCTTAACGATTTTCATTTCTGATGAAGCAGATAATAGAGGTCACTAACAGGACTAAAAGCTTGAGCTATCCCGACAAATACACAACATCCTTTTTAGAGCGAAGCGAAGTACAAATAAGAAAGGTGAAAAAGAACAAAAATTCTGGAAAATGTAATTACATAATGTCCACCCGATGTAATGGTATGGCCACAACGGGGAGAAGGACCTTGACCCGGAAGCTTCAACTGGGTCCATCCCGCGGTTTCATTCTCTGCCACAAAACAGTGAAACATTTCATTAGCTGCTTAAAAAAAACTTGAAACACACTGAAACTCAGAGGAAAAAAGAAAATCCATCTGAAAGCCCAAATCTCTTGACCTCATGCAAAACAATTTATAAACAAACAAACCAAGGAGAAAAGGACACTACAACAGTGTTTCATCCTTCCATTTTTTAAAATGATCAGAGAATGTTTGTCCAATGAAAGTTTCTAATAAATACACTAACCGGATAATGCTGGAGCAGATGAGCAAATAAACAACACATACCCATCTATATTTGGATTGAGAAAACATAAAAATATTGAACAAACAGAAAACAGAGAAGTAGGATATAAC